CTTGATAGACTTCAAGGTTAGCTAGACCAATCGAGATTTGTTTTTGTAGACGGAGATTGTCTAGGAAGTCTGGGACTTTACTCGTTTCATTTATGACTACTAGGAGCGAAGTAAAATAGATAAAGTAGGGTAGAATCGTAAAAACAATATTATATTATTAAGGTCTCTTCTCCATTACTTGATGATGTCTAAAGCTTGGGAGGCACTTCGATATTTATATTCCGCGTCTGAGTGTTCACGGACTACATCTATTTATCATACAACTATGTACTTCTTCAATCGTAATTCGCAACGTCGAGTTTTCTTCCAAGGTACAAACACCTGTAGACTCTGAAAACCATCACACCCTCTTCGATAATTATGATATTTCTTCTTAGAAAACGTGCTATCCCCAATAGTAATATCCCGATTAGCAGAGTCTTTAGACTTATGGCCTAGTTCTTAAGTCGAACTGAGTTGACTCCAATTGTCTTTGCCATTGATAAAATGATCAGTTTTATCTATGGCTATATCAGCAAAGGTGGTCATCATTACAACCATCGTAGGTCGTCTGACTCCGATCCTTTGTAACTCCATACTCAATCGATAGATTTTCTTTGAATGACTTCCTGTTAACTCACAGGAAGCCACTCCACTAGGCTGGTAATTAATCCCTTGGTCAGCAACCCTTGGTTGCTCTCTGGGTAGTAGGTTTCAGTAACCATTGTAGTATTGAGAATTACCCCATGGCTACAACGTATTCTGAAATCCAGTTGCAACACTCCATGAAGTTTGTTGGCTTCTTTGGTAGTGTCCTTTAGAGTTCTAGACTCTTCTGGTAGATGTAAATGTATTGGTCTCTAGTAGAGATCCTTTACCATTTGATACCATCTCTTTGGGCGAAATCGTCCTGTTACCTACGGCCCATGCCAAAGGTGTCATGTCTTTGAAGCCAAGTAACCCTCTGAGTAGTTGACGGAATTACTCTGTTCTACTTCCCAGGCCTAGCCGAAGGTCCTCTCTCATATATCCTGCGAACAGGATCCGGTCAGACGGACGGCGAGGAGGTATATGGTGTTATTCTAACACCTTCAATTCTGTGGTAATATAGTCACAGGACGCAACTGAGATTAATATATATAATGATGCCCGGGCCCCGTAAGGGAGCCGGAGGGGGGGTGTTGGAGACCAGAGATTCTGATTCCAAGTGGGGTTACCCTACTTAGAGTGATTCCTAGGTATCGGGTTCTGGTATTCCTAACAGTATTGCTCGATGCAATTGGCAGCCTTTCTTCTACTGGTTACTCAATACAGCTATAATTAATAGCTACTGCCTTGCCCGTACCAATGGTTCACAAATATCTTACCATGACTTCCACTCCTCTCTTGTAACCTCTCTGTTGACTACAGCTCAGACTTCTCTCAGCTCAACTTTCTCAACCCCTACATCCAATAGGCCTAAATTTAAGTTTCTTTACCAGCAAAACCAGCAATTTTGCCTTCGCGATCCTGTGCGCCTATCTTATCTTACAAAAAACTCCCAGGAGCCTAAGCCAGTTGGGAGGTTTGGCACACTACAAGGAGGGCATATCTGAGTACATACTGTAAAGGTCACTTGGGGATGGTGCTTATGGTGTCGGTGGAGGCACAAGCAGGGAGGACCAGATGTCCAAATTCATCAGTCTAGCTTTCAGTGCCAGCGCTGTCATGTTGTTCTTTGTCACTCATGTTTTCCTTTATTTCATGGTATTGGACAGTCATAATGGTGTTTTTCTTTATATTGCTCTATTTATTTAGTAATATGAACCCCTGTCTGTCATACGTGAGTATGGTGCAATTTTGTGGCTGCACTGAATTTCGTTGTTTCACCTCTCGAAGGGATAGCAAGCAGGTCACAAGTGGCATTTCTTTAGCACAAGTGTGCCCGGTCAATCCACCGTCCAAAACGGGAAGTTGTCGAATAATTCCCACAACGGTAGTTATATCCTATATAAACGCTACAACTATTACAGTACTGTAATGTACATGAAAACCAATACTCGAGTAGGTGTGATTGGAAGTATCACTACGGAGGTACAGCTCCTAAGTTTTGTATGTTACGCAGGTGGCAGACACCACAATCACTATTAGTGTAACATACAAAACTTAGGTGCGGTACCTCCGTAAACCCCGCACCCCACAGCAAAGCACGCCTCTTCCCCCCTCCCCCCGGCACTCACAACCACGAACAAACAAGCAATATTTTGCACTCCAACTCCTTTTTTATTTTGTCTTGTGTTCTTGTTTTTCTCGTTTTGTTTTTTTTGTTTTCGGTACTTAGAGGCTGGTTTGGTGATTCTTAGATGAGATATGTTTGTTTGTGAACCCCCCCTTTTGTGCTCTGTTTGCTTTAACGGGCTGTCTTTCTTATACAATTGACCCCCTCCCCTCCTAAATGCTATGTTTAGGCCGCTGTAATCCGGTCATGCTCATTGGGCCTTTGGTTTTATCTTCCTTTTTTGCATTTTTTTTCTGTTGTTAAAATGTTCCTTTCATAATATACAAGGTGTCCCATAAACCCCCGAGCAAGATATTGTGCTGTGAAGCGTACAAATTTTATGGCTGTACAGTACCTCCGTACACACAATTCAGACGCCTGCTCTCTTAGCAAGTACGGTACTGCTCTACGCGATTGTGCGCACACATATTTGGTGATACACTATTTCCGCTTACTTTCTCCAAAGCTTTCTTACGTAGGAAAATAAAGCCGGAAGGCGCAACTGGGATGTGTGAAACCCACCCCATTTCAACTTTTTCCCCTCGATTGGTTAAGCACAGGGCTGTACGAGTACTATTACTGATACTATTTGGGACAGACAAATTTGCTACCAGGACTTTTTTAGGCACTGTACTCGAGTACTTGTATCATATACATTCTGAATTTTTCTTCCTCGTTTTTTCCAAGTTTGCCCTTACCCGGCTCACTCCCTTCCTACGGAATAGTAACACGTCTGGCGGAAACCCACTCATCCTAACCACAAGTTTCCCGCGGAACCTTTCTGCCTCCCCCGGCACTGCTTCCATCTTGCCCCGCTGTCTACTGAATCCTGAGCTCCCTACTCCCTACTCAATTCATCGTGAGTTGTTCCGTTTACTGATTATAAAGAATCTCGAACACAACCAATCCCCTTCTGCCAGGCAATCTTCGTCATGTACGGTACACCAGGAACCACCAGTGGGGTTTTCACACCTCATTATACATCGCCTCTCCACCCTCTCATACTCAATTACAAACCACTTGAGTGTGACCTCCTTATCTTGGGCACCCTTCATTATCATACAACTGAGCTTCGCCAGCAGTTTGCGTCTCAATTGCCACCCGCGACTGATGAATATGCTCTCGGCAAGGAGACATCATCGGTCTGTGAGCTCCTTTCCCGGTTTTTGGCATTGGTGACAACAAATTCTGGAGGAAGTGGATGATGCACAGGGAACCTAAGAGGATGTTTTATGGCTTGTTCTGACTGAATTCCAAGGCCGGTTTCTGCGGGGTAATGAAGTTCATGTGATGGCTGCTTAGTTGCCTGGTACTCCGGCTGAGCGATAGGATGTGATCAAATCCGACTATGGTGCTTACCAAGCGGCTAACAGACCTACCAAGGCATATGAGTCTGCTTTGTTTTGCGCCGCTGCTGAACAAACCGCTAGTGTTTATGCAGTTTTCCGGGAACGGCGGGACGTTGGGGGATACTTTAACGAGCTTCGAGAAATCTTCAGCGTTTATAGCGGATTCGTTGAAAATTATTTGGTGTATTGTGCCCGGCTACTTTGGTCAATTTTTCGAGATTTTTTGTGGGGGCAAGGTGTATTTCAAGGGACTTGATCTTATGAGATAGCTACAAGAAGGGGAATCTACCTTTGATCTTACCTATCTAGTTTCCTCCTGTGTCCTTCCCCTTGATTGGGCTGGCTCAACCGTCGCATCATTATGCAACTTGCAAAATCCTCGCCAAAGAGCCCAGGGAACTCCGAGAAGGGCTTGTAAGTACAGCTGCCCATTCTTCGGGTATCGTTACCGCGACAGCCATTGCATCTGCATTGACTTGGGATTCGTTCCATCGTGTCGCATTCCGTACTCTCACCGTCCTTTTCTGCTTGATTGCCATTCCCAGCAGACCTGTCCCTGTACTTCACTAGCTCCTAGCATCCTATAAGACTACCCATCGCCCATGCTGTTGGTATGGGACCTGCCCCCAGCACAGCTCTGGCACGGCGTTTATATCGCATTAGGCTAAGGATATGCATATCCACATCCCTTAATTAATGGTTCGAGGAGCGTTGTCCCAACTGGTCCTCCCCAATTTCTTTACAGCCTTAATCTTTGCCTGAGGAAGGATAAAGGGCTAACTGGATTTGACCAGAAACGTCTTCCTTTTGCAGAGAGGAAGGTTCATCACACAAACTGTTTCCTGCCTAATTCGGCCGTCCCACTCTCCATACCTCGAATCTGCAACGGGTATCATTTTGGACGACCATAAAGAGACAGGAGCTTTCACCTAGCAGGACCTTGCAATTCCTGCTTTCAACACCGCCACCGGTCAAGACATCTACGATGGTTCGGGCGATGAATCAATCATTTCCAAATACATGAATAAAATCACTCAGCAGCCAGTTCACGGTGAAGCCGCGACGATCTCCTCCGCGACAATCCAGATCCTTGACTTTGGCCTTGGAGGCATTTCCGGGTTTAGTGTTCTGACCCACCGCAATGGGGATGGCACTGGTGTACGCATAATCACCGTGGGAGCTTTTGAAGGTACAATAAGGTGGGATACAAACTTGAGCTATTCATTAGAGATTCCGAGCACGCAGTCATATATGCAGTTAACTGGCTAAATGAACCTGGCCCAAACTGGTACGAGCACAGTAGCGAGAAACTTTCGTTGATAACGAATTTTCCGGATTGCTTGGACAGCTGCCTGTACTGGTTGTTGGGATGACTCCTTGTATTGGCTGTCCTGTGGGACGTTGTTCTGGCCACTATGAATTCCTGGTATCAGGTTGAATTTGCCTGTAAGCTAATACATTTCCTCAAATCTTGCCCACTCCGTGCTGATGCAAATTACCAGGTAGTGGTTATTACAATGCCAAGTGTCTTACTGCAGCTCTTCAGAAGATCGAACAGAATATGATTCCTGGTGCTAGTATCGTGGTCAATCGTATCGATGTGAACTCCCGAGCTATGGGACGGCAGATCCTATTTCTCCAGCAGCTACGTTCCACAGGTCTTCCGGTTGAATAGTTGCCTATTAGCGGTCCTGTACTGCCGATCGAGGTTGCTAATGAGTATGTTGAGGCCATCGGGTTGAAACATGTCTCCTTTGAGCCCCCTTCTATCAATACTATTCAACAAGGAATCAGTATTGCCGACGCCAACCTAACTTTCCTGGTAATTCTGCAGCGGACTGGAGGGATAGGTGGCGGTCCCTACTGCCTTGAAGATTTCCATCAACTGATCCTTCCGGTGCAGGTATGCATCAGGAGATGCAGTAGCAATGCTCTTATAGGCAGCACCGGATTTGGTGGGGCGGAAGATACAGTTCCTTATTTGACCGGAGTTTGGTCTCAGAAGCTAAGTACCCTCCGGTCCCTTTTGAAAATGGCGTTTTTTTCGGTGCCAGAATAATGACGGCAAAAGAAGCATGTACTATCACAAATGTAAGTTTATTTATCAGGGCCAGTGATAGAATCAGGCGCATTCTAATAATAAATATTGTATTCTAGGCGAAGAAGGTGGTCAGCGAAGCACAGGGGGTAGGTAGTAGGGGCTGGAAGACCTATGGGGGTGTAGCTGGTAATGTTAGTAAGGTCTTGTCGGAGATAAGTTAGCCTACCCACAAGCTGGCTACCTCTCGTATCAGACTCTAGTGAGTATTAACGGGGATTTGTTACTTGAGTATTTCCAATTAACCGCCTATTATATAGACCTGAGCTAAATCACACAATTTTCTCAATCGGCAAAGCCAATCGTCTCGTTGAGCTTTAGAAGTAATATGATTATATCATTTAAACCTGAATCCTTATTTCCAAAAGACTTGGTTAGGTCAAAGTTCTAAGGCGGACGATTGATCTCATAGAAATGACCTATGCTAAGGTCACCTGTCGCTTGGTTGAACTCACGTATGTTAGGCTTGAGTCTCGCTGAATATATCCCACTTTATAACAGCTTACTGGGGACTTCAATCAATGTATTGAAGAACATTCCACCTCCATTGGGGGCGTGGCGTCCTTGCTTCAAAATTAAGCCGATCTGGATGATCCTTTTGCTACTCCCGGCAAGACTCTAGCCCATTATCCGACAGCCAGCGCTCAACTCATCAATTCACCAGATATGCAGCATTTCCTTCTATGTCTGCGGCGCAGCCAGAAGCCCGTTCCATTTGTTCCTTCACTTGACCAGAACTTTGAATTCTGCTTCGAGAAGGATTCTCTTCGGCAATTGCTGACCAGGATGTTGGAAGAACCTGCATTCTTTAAGGACCAATGTTGCTGAATTTGACAAATACTCCACCGTTGTTAATGAGCCTATCATGGATATCCGCAATGGAACCTACAATGGACACATCACTGCATTAGCGGTGGATTTCTATGGCAGTGACGAGCGAGCTATCCTTGTTGGACATTTTGGTGGTAAGCCGATTGCTTCTCTACATGACCTGAGGAGGTTCGACGGGTCGTATTCTTAACCACATGCAAGTTCATATCCTGCATTCTTTAGTTGTGGGTTCCTGGAACTTGGATTGGTGGACCCTTTACGCGAGGCATTACAGATCAACTGAGGTGCAAACTGGTTTTTCCCGGGGGTTTGCTGACACCTTGGCTGTCCATCTCCTTAATGTACTAGCACTGTGATCGGTATTGCTCACCCTGTACATGGATCTTGTAGGTGAACACTTACACCCTGAACTGTGGCATCAGAATTTTCCCCTTTCAAATCGCTAAGCAGCCCCGGGTGGGCCAATCGAAGTTCCGATAATAGCTATTGGATTCTCTTAAAGTACTGCACGTGAAGGTGGTGGACCCCGCAATGGAACCTGGTGACACCACGATTTGCCTCGCCTTCCAGGAAAGAAATGCGCATATGTTTCTTGCATTAAATTTCCCCAAGGCCAGATGTGGATTCTCCCCTGCTAGACCATGAAACCGGGTATTTAGTTGTCAGAAATTGAATATATAGGGAATATAGTGAGGTGGGCTTACATTTCCCAAGATTTTCTGATATAGTCATTTGCTCCCTTGGTGGACAGGGCATGGTCCGCACCTTTTTCGGCCGGTGGTCCCAATCTTCTCCAAGAAACTCATTGAAGAAATCGTTGAAGACATTTCTAGCCTATCGGAAGCCGAGGAGGGAGAGACCACCTGGCTATATACTCGTTATCCAGCTGCTGACCTGGGGCTGGCATCACCTGTACCTCCAAGAATTATTCCAGGATGATAACAGCTGCCATTTTGAACTGTTAATAACTGGATCACGGAAAAAGGACCCCCCATCAACTACTCACCAGGCCGCGAGCGAAAACCGCCCTACAACGGTAGGCCCCCCTGTCTAGACTTGGTGGAAACAAACCTTATGTGCTTTACCTTAACGGTGCTACATTTTTTTGTGGGGTTTGTAGGAGTGTTACTGGCTGGCTGAAAAAGACATATCCCTCACAGCATCTGCCGTGATTTTGGCTCTTGTCACTCTCATAATCCGGCGTGATTATCAAGTCTATCTATCTGCGGGACCAGGGGGTTTTCCCCCACGATGTCCGTGGGTGGCTCCGCAAATATCTTTCTTCCTTCCAGGCGAGAAAAGATGAGCCTCACCAAATAACTTACGACCACACCTCGACTGGGGTACTAATGGACATTCCCCCGGGTCAGGCGATCACCCAAAAATCGGAAAGCACTCAATTCCACACACTTTCAAGCTTCCGATTTGGGCATCTTGGAAGCGTGGTTCTTTCATCGGGGTATACCCACCCCACATAGGGTCGCAGAGTTGGCCCGGAGAGGAATCGCCCATTTCCGTGAAAGCGATGGACCTTTTTATGCCGTGCTATCGCCGGCTGACTGTGCGGAGATTATATATAGTGGGTGGGAGAAAGGTATCTATTGAGCGGGAGCATGCTGTCGCAGTCCCAATATCTCTTAGTGTATGCGCCGAGGGATGAAAGCGAAACTTCTGTCTTTGCGGAAATGCTGGTATTGGAGGTGGCCATTGGCTGATAGCAAGGAAGTTGTGTAGCGGAAGGAAAGATTTGTAAACAGGTCTACCGCTGGATGATCAAAATGCCTTGACTGCAAATTTCTGAATCCTAGCGTTCTGGTTATAATTATAAGGAGGGGCTATCCATAATTAGTGGCATCTTACTCAGGAAGCACATGGGTGGCCCGGACAAAAGCTCCCACAAACTTTCTCCATTCCACTATCCTACTACCGTAAAAACTCGTTAAATCCGGCATCTGGAATTGGGCTTGGCTATGGTGCAAATTGGGTATGAGTGATCATGCCAAGAGATTGAGTGACCGGGAGTGATGCCAAGATTAGAAACTTGCACAGACTATATCAAATAGAGCATGAGTCAACTCACCCGTGTTCATTTTCTTATTATTAGAGTTCAATGAGTATCTCATATTTGCCTATTGGTGAATAGAGTTTGACAATGACTATAGGTTTTATAATTGTAAAATATAGAGTCATGATATTATTTACTCAATATCAGAGACAATTGTTGAGTTCAAGTCAGCATGAGACAAGAATGTATAGAGAAGTAAAGGGAAGATAAAGTGTAGTACGTAGAATGTTTAGAACTGAGAACAGAGAGACCAATTACCTGATAGAAGACATGAGTCCAATTCAAATACCAAAATGCCAGCGGGGGCCAAACGCAAAGCCAATCAAGGAACAAACTCTACGTTCTTACAATTTAAAGCCAATTCAGCATCCAGAACGAAGCTATAGCCAAAATCAAAAACTGCGAGTACTTACGTTCCTGGCTCATCATTCCATTCCACTTGCCCAGCTGGAAATGTATTGCCATCCCACACAACAAGAAGCTGCCGACTTCTATCAAATTCCACGAACCACAATCAGCAACTGGGTACGAACAAAAAATCGAATTGAGGGAGTAGGAAGAAACTCAGAAAAAAGAAAAGAAGAAAGTATCAGAGTTTCGTAGCAGGTACTATGGCCACAATTAGAGGATCTGTTATATGGTCAGTTTATAGAGCGAAGGGAAGCAGGGCGAACTGTGAGGCAGGGGTGGTTTCAAATTCAGTCTCAATTCTTATTTCAAGAGACTTATCCAAACGCTAGTTCAGAGCTCTTCAGATTCAGTAACGGGTAATTTCAGGGGTTTCTTGGTCGCCATTGAATTAGCCTTCTCAGTATCACCAAAAAAGCACAAAAGTTACCTTCGGATTATGAGATGCTTGTTGTTAACTGGTTGTGTTTCAACTGGCGAAACTCACAGCCAAGAGGTAATCAATTCTGGGAGGTTGCAGTCGAGCATCCGGTTGGTCGCTATTCACGTTCCAATATTTGCAATCTCGACGAGACCCCGATTCCTTTCAAATACCTTTAGAGTAAGACCTATAATACGGCAGGGGCAAAGATGGTGTGGGTGAAGGAAAGCCGATCGGGATGGGACAAGCGGTAGGCCAGCTTGGTTTTCTGTATTTTTGCTGATGGTATCTCCCGAATACCACCTATGATTATTTTTCATAGTACAGGAGCTAGGTTGGAAGCTGAAAAACTACAATATCATCCCGGTGTTTTGATTGAGTATAATGCTACAGCATATATGAACGATACCTTATTTACAAAATACCTCACTAATTACTTAATTCGCACACTTGGTGGTCATCTGAGTCTTTTTGCCCTTGACTTAATGGGGTCTCATAAGACTCCCACCATACTTGAGCTACTTCGAAATAACAACATCACCCCTTCTCTAATTCCTGCCGGATGCACTAGCCTGGTGCAACCCCTAGACATCTCTATCAACAAGCCGTTTAAGGATTTAATACACAACTACACAGATCGAAAGATCTTCGAGTGTGAATCAGCAGCCAATTTCGAAAAATAGACAGTTGGGGACCGAAGAGCTATGACAACGTACTGTGTTGGAGATACTTATGCTCAGTTTCATGCTGAGAAGGCAAGCCTAATTGTTAGTTCTTTTTCTCAAATTAGGCTTGTCACTTCCGGTTGATGGTAGTTTGGATCATGAGTTGGATATCAAGAGATTTGAAAATCTGGAAATTGGCAACTGGCAAGAAGATTTAGACTCACTTGATGACAGGGCAGATGTTGGGATAGAGGGAGATGAAGTTATAGAATTTGTAAACTAATAGTTGTGTTGATTGTGGATTGATGTTCAACAAATGTCTTTTCGGCATCATGGACAATCACTCGATCTCTTGGCATGATTATGCACACCTTGTTTGCGCCATAGCCAAGCCTGATTCCAGATGCCGGATTTAACGAGTTTTTACGGTATGCCGATAGTAGTTGCGTAATTGTTAGAGTTCAGTGTGGCCTATTGATTGTCCACATCGGACCAACCTCACTGAATGCAGCTTGAGCGAGGGTGGATGTCCATGAGAGGAGAGTTCAACATATGAGTACTAGAGCTTTTACTATTTAAGTTTCTACTCCAACATCGGTAATATTTAACATACCGTAGTAAAGTTATCCCCTTTTATCATAGAGTACTCCCTGCTCGCTGCGGGTAAGCCCGGGTGCGCACAAGCGAGACTGTCCGAGGATGACAAAGGTACCTGCCCCAAACCCGAGGAGATAGATCGGCGAGTATCACACCTTATGGCAACAACTCTCTGGGCAAGAGTTGTTTATGATTTTCTCAAGGTCTGAGGATGTTTCCCCGTCCAGAGGGGTTTCTTTTTTCTTCTTCCCAAATTTATGATATCTACCTTAAAAAGTTAAATCCACGATCTCCCATCAGCCTCGGATCTTCCCGATCAGAGACAAAACACCCCAGGAAGGAATAGTGTCTATACAAACTGGGTATAGCCAGGCGAGGCTTGGTTTGCTGGATCTCATTAACCGGTTTTCGTCATTCTGTTAACCTACTCCGCTAAGCCTATTGTGGTTTAGACACTGAATTCCCTTGAGATCCCCGGCAGCGGATTTAACGAATTTTTACGATATTTTTTTATTCATATAGGAAAAACCTAGACAAGTGCTAGGACTAAAGTTCTCGCAGTTAATTTAGGTTTTTACTCTCAAAATAATCACTGCCTTGTACAAGTGCCATGGGTGAAGTCTTCGCACACACCAAAGTGGCTTACCAGCAAAAAAATGTTAAAAATTGGTGAGGTCACAAAGTAGTGTATGCGAAGACTTCACCCATGGCACTTGTACTATACGAAAACATTTGCCCCCTATGCGCTGTACTGTACAAGTAGCTATCATAGCACTCGGATGCGTGGAAAAGAAAACCCAAAAACAAAAGAAACTTCCTATCACCCCTTAAAAACCAAACTACGGTGGGTCCTCCTTCGTTGCCCTTCCACAAGGCCGAACCAGGCCCCGTGCCGAAAGTTCAGGGTATTCGCTCAACCTTCTCCACGGCAAAGGCTGGGCAGTTGAGCACTGGATCGCTACGGTAGGGAATATGATATAGCTTTCGACTTGGACCTTCCGTTGACGGAGATCGGAGTGGGCGCTATACCCAACCCGTAGTGTCTCTAAATGTTAGGATTCAAATATTTGCAGCGCCTTGACGGTGGTCGTTCCTTGGGGGTAAAACTCAGGTACAGTACAGTACATGGTGATCCTAGCAGCGGGCGAGGCACTGATGGTACTCTAAGTACCGCGCTTGGTTCGGATACACCAAGTCATTTATTCGAGTACGTGTATCTTTTAGTTTCCGGGTACGGTAGGCACCCGCTGCGGGTTGAACAATGGTGCCCGTACGGCACCGCGCCGATACTGTGGCGTATGATGTTCGGTTTCTATGACACAGTCATGGGAGGATATGAGGGAGTCTCACCACGCAGGTTTAGATGTACTCGCAGGGTGTGTACGAGTACTACCGGTAGTACTACCGTTCAAAGGGGTTCGTCGTAGGGCGTGGTGAGACTTCTTGGTTTTGAATGTAATTTCGCCGCCGGTTTGACGAAATCTGCAGCTGAGAGACCAATGTGGCGAAGAGAAAGGTGGGGGGCTGTTACTCGAGTATGATAGTTGGAGTTCTAAAGTGCGGGATGATGTGAACTCGAAAAATTTCGGGCGCGAGTGAGTGCAGCTCTCTTGTCCTACTTGTATCATATCATATCAAGCTGAACACTGTACTCGAGTAGACTATCGACCACAGTACCTCCGAACCATCAAACCAGCTTTCGAACCGCCTCCAGAGCTGGCACTGGCACCGCAGCTTATTTTTGGGGTTCGCGGTTCATGAGCTACAAATCTCCTATTTGGACCGCGCCGGGCCGGGGTGTTAGGACTTCCCTTTGACCACACGGTAGAACCAAGCGACTTGGTGCTTGTTAAACCGGCGACGGCGAGTTAAGTTAAGGAGGTCCGAAATAGTCGAGTACCCGAGCGAAACTCTTTTATCCAAGGACCGTACTTTACACTGCGAGTACGAATACAGTGCCACTACCCAGGGTGTTTTTGCTTTGCCCTGGACTTGGTTTGAATTCGAACCGTGCTTATACGACACTCGAGTATTATATAGGCCTTTGCATTCCTTACCACCTACTCGTATATCACAGAACTCCCGCGAACAATCCGCTCTCATACAGGTATCTACCTGAAAGAGAGATGGTCCCGGAGGAGAAGAGGGGGAGAACGCGCCGGAAACCTCCGAGGAAGAAGCTGCACGGCACCTAATTTGATAGAATTCCAGAACAATTTGATATGCAGTTAGTTCCACACTGCAGACAAATGATGAAATACCATGTGGTGGATTCCGGATGAGGGCAGGGGAAAAAAGCATAAGGAGTAGTGGTTGGAGTCGAGTGAGGGTCTGTGCAAGAAATTGAGACACCATTCACCATAGATGATACACACCCTCGGCCACCTTCACTCTTCTGGCAAGATCCATTGGGCAGGGACTGGGGGGAAATTTTCGGCATCGGCGAATTCCCACGTTGTTGGCTTCTTTAAAAAGCAATCTCCGCCCTACATTTCCGAATCACGAAATACGATTAGGGCGCCAAGATCAGGTTGGCTGGCTCATCTCTCGATACCCCCGATGCCTTCCGTCGAAGCAACCATTGGGGTGCCGTCCTCGACCAGGTATGCTGCTGTAGGCGGAATGCTCTTCTCAAGGCTCGCGATAGAGCGATCTTACCTGAGGGTGCTGTCGCTCCTACAGATGTACTAGTGCGGTACTGGGTATGGGGCTTGGGCGAATCTGGGTGATTCCCAGCATCCTTCTAGTACCGCGCCCGTGAAAAGTATTTATCCTATCTTCGGTACTCGAGTAAACTTCCCTTGTGAACCCGACACCGGTATTACTCGTATACTCGAGTAGGGTGCCGAGTACCCGTACTCTAATACAATACCGGTACTCGAGTAGACTACAGAACCAAACTGCAGGATGCTTTTCTCCCACACCTGACGCGAGATGTTTCGTTGGCGGGGAATTCCACGTTGCTCTTGCAGAGCCAAGCTTGCGAGATATCCAATCAGGGCTCACTGTTGACGAAAGTGATAAGCTTCTCCTTCGTGTCAGCTAAAAGCTTCTAGAAACGGTCTGAGCGGCGCAACCGGACATGATAATGCGGTAAGCAGATACCGTTGGTGGAATCGCGATGCGGGGTTGCACATGGGAAATGCCTCGTGGATGGATGGGTGTCAAAATCTTCAGTGCAATATAGTACTGGTACTCGAGTATTCGCCTCAGGGGTAGAAGGGTCAGACATAACTGTGCTGTACTTTCTGCAACAGATGGAAGGACCGGGTGGAGAATTAAGTTACTGGTGGATCTGATCCTGTATCGTTTTTACTACCGGTACCGGTATGTGACAAGTACCAGTGTCTTCCGCGCCCTAGACTTTGTGTTCGAGGGATTTCTTGAATAAAGTACCCATATGGGCGTGATACTGTTCTGCGCTCGCGGGGTATGACACTGTGCTAGTATAAGTAAGATCTACAGAACGTTTGTTCAAGGTTCAGGCATTACTCGTATCTTGTGCCTCGATGGCGAGCGATGGATGGCGCATACCCGCTTGCTTATTGGGTCGGAGTGTGAGTTGGGTGGGGTTCTTGGAATATGATACGGTATGATGCGGTAGTCTACCAAGCTTACTGCACTTGAGTACCGGAGTACTCGTACCCTATCATGCCTTCCTGGGAGAAAAGGTGGTATTGAGTTTTGTGGGACCTCTCACCTAGTTTGAGCAAGGGGGATCCAAACCGCAATCGGGCGATACTATCCCAGCGAGGCACCGCTTGGTTCTCCTTATCTTCTTCGCAGTACCATACGTACCGTATTTGTTTCTTTTCAGGGACGGCATGGTGTCTTGGTCAAAAATAAGATTTTCCAGGTATTATGGAGTAGTACAACAGTACTCCACTACGGTACAGGGGATTTAGCTCTCTCGGATAGGCGTAAGCTGGGCGTGGAATTCCGGAGAGCGTTGAAATCATATATCTTTGGGTGGCTGCCGTGTAGGGTGGATTTTTTTTCTTTCACTTTCCCCTTTTTCTCCCTCCGTCGTTGCTGGGAGATTCTGGTAGCCATGGTCGATGAACCAAACTCGATGAATTATCCAGAAGACCGGAGGGAGGTGGTGCTCGGGGTGAATGCGGCGTGCTTGGGATGTACTATACTGTTCGTGGGTTTGCGATCGTACGCGAGGTTTAGTGTGAAGGGTTTGGGTACGGATGATGGTAGGACTCTAATTTATCTGTTTGAATATATCTCGGTTGGGGTGGAACTTGGACTAATTTTCTGTAGTGTTGATTTTCCTTGCCACAGTAACTCCCCCCTTCAATATCCCTCGGCCGTGTGGGAAATGGAACAGGGTAGTCAACTAATCCTTTTGCTCGTCAAAAGTTGTGCAGTATCGGGTTATTTGTGACCTGCCTTTTTGGTACGTAGTGTTCAAATAGAGAGAGTCTACGAAACAATTCTCACAAAGCGCTAGCAATGAAATATGGCATGGGAAGGCATGTCGGAACAATATCTTCAGAGGAGTTGGTAGTGTACACCAAGGTGAGCCAAATTCCCTATCTTAGAATAGAGTTATCGCCAATTCGACTAACAAGTTTGTTAGATGACCTGGATCGGCGGATTAGTTCACACCGCATCAACAGCCTTTGTCAAGGCTTCACTACTGGCACTTTATCTGCGCCTCTCACCCAGCAGAGCCTACCGAAGTCTGAGCTACATCTCGCTGGTATTAGTAGTTGGCCATGCGGTCTCAGGCCTTACGGTGACTACGTTTCAATGCACCCCAGTGCCGTACCTGTGGGACAAGACGATCAAGGGCCGCTGCATCCGGACAGGAATTTTCCACTTTGTGAATGCGGGAGTGAATGTTTTGACCAATGTATTGATATGCGCCCTCCCAATGCCGATGCTTTGGGGGGTCCAACTTCCGAAACGTCAGAAACTCGGATTGTGTGTAGTCTTCTCACTCGGAGCATTGTAAGTCACTCTTCCGCAACCGACGCACCAGAGTCTAACTATAATGCAGGGCTTGCACAGCGAGCATAATCCGCCTCCTATGTCTCCGCGGGCTCCTCAAGTCTCACGATCCAACATGTATCCTCCCACCCCTCTATATCCTCTACCTAAACTAACCCCCCACCAGGGACAATAGTAAACTCATTCACTTGGTCCATAATCGAACTTCACGCTATCATCTTGGCCGCCTGCATACCGAGCTTCAGAACTCTTATGGGACGCCACTTCCCAAACCCCCTCGGGTCATCTTACTACTCACACTCCACCCCGGGCAGTATGCGGATGAAGACGAAACTGGGCCGACACACGCACTACCGGGTCAAACACCACATGCCATACGCACTCGGCAGCATGGATACTCGCGAGCACACTACGAATCATATTGAGGGTGGCGGCGGGGTGGGTGGAGGGGGTGGATTGGATGATAAGGATAGGGATGAGGGCGGTGGGATGATGGTTGTTGGGGGCGACGGGGAGAGTGAGATTTTGTTTATCGAGGTCCCGGATGGGGGAATTATCAAGACCACCGAAGTGGAGGTTAGGGTTGTCGAGAGGGGATAACTACTAACTTGGGAATTTCCGTTCTTTTGGTTTTGGTTTCGGCTTATTTTGTTCTTGTTCGGTCTGCTTATTTGCGCGGTCAGGAGTCTTTTTCTTTTTCTTTTTTCTCTTTTTTTTCTTTTCTTTTCTATCTTTCTCCCTTGAGGGAGGAGGGAGCGGGGAGTGCCCTTACCCCGCATTATATTGTTGGATTAGATGGATATCGGGCCGGGGCGCGGGTTTGGAATATCATAAACTGCCTGAAGAATTTCTTACCGCAGCACTTATGTTTACTTGGAGGGGGTTGTTTAATGGATGGTTGGTATGTCGGTCGGGTGCTGTGCTGGCACGGGATCTGCCAGTTATTTCGCTTCATCAATGGGAATATCATGCCTGATGACATGAGTTAGCGAACGTCAGTGGTGCAGTTCGAGTGAGTGTTTGTGACCTTAGCTGATTCTTGTGCGATGAGAGTGGGAATTTGGGGCGAAGTAGGTTACACCCCCGAACCGCACCGGTGGAGAATTATAGAAGATATCGCTACCCAGCCTATCCTCTATCCGAACACGATAACTATGATACCTATGATACTAACCCAGGTAATGTTGTTGGAAGGGATTTGTTTTTGTGGAAACCCCGCGGAGTGTTGGTGGGAGGGTGAAGAAGTGTCCTAAACTAACCTGCGAACCCCAACCTCTCTTGACAGAACCTAAAGCTGAATACAATCTAATGTGGCGCCCCTTCGGATTCAAGTGACTTGGATTCCCGACGCCTAACCCAAATCTACCGTTTTTTCTCGAAGGTAATAGATGTTACCTTGCCATGTCTGGCGCCGTAGGTGTGTGTGGGGGGTCGCAAACGATGAAGTCCTGTTTGGCCAAAGGCAAAAGCTACTGAAAGCTGCCATCGAAGAATCTACCGATATCTACTGTGCAGAACCGTGCATACCACATCAGAGCATATCATAACACCAAATCACGGAGAAGAAACCCCTGTGACTTCCAAGCACACCTCGCCGTATCATTGTTAAAGCCGACCCACTTGGTTTCAGTCCTTGAGACCTCGAACCCCCTTCCCAGCCTTATAATCTGGCAAGCCACTCCACTACCTCGTCCATTCGGATCTTCATGGGACCACAAAGTTCATGATAGGTCACAACCGCCGGGCCGAAAAGCTCAGCACCGACAGCATGAGTCCCTCGGTGGGGTGCTGGCCAAGAGTCTTTACCGACTTTTCGACGACTCGGAAACGGCAGCACGGCGGGACTGTTGTAGTTGAGGATGAAGTTGTTCGTCACGGCCGCAAGTCTTCAGGAGGTAGATCTGTACGAGCTAGTGGGGTAGAATAATACCATCCCCGAGACTACATCGGGGGTTATCCATGCGTCTTCTAAGTTTATTTCTAGGTCGTGGTGAACAGGGGGGCTTTCCTCTGGGTCGTCGGGGACGACCATTTCGATGTCTCCGTGGAAAAGGCTGTACTGAGGGCGGGGTAATTGGGCTGTCGGAGGGCGAAGCTGGGAGCTGCTTGAAGGCATTCTATATTCCTGCCTCTGATCATGCCAGAACAGTTAGCATACGGTATATACATCCGGCGAGGGTGTCAATCCCCCACAGATTGTATCGGGACTAGTGTGAGCCATTGCCGGGCAGAATATTTGGGGTGTTGAAATCGCGCGCTTGGGGTTGATATTTCCACTGCCACCGTGAGTATCATACTGCTAAGGTGCTTTATGCTCCCCTGGACACCCGAGTGAGGGGCCGGGTTTTTCCTCTGCGCCTTGTCGCGTAAAGCTGAAAACTCCAAGCCCTTTCCGTTTAACTCAAAACTCGGATTCACACGGTGACGGGTGCCTAGCCAGAGCGCTAAACCTGTGAGGGAGAAATTTTTCGGGAATTCCTACGATAGCATCGAATATGGGTTCCTAGCTCTCACCACAAAGCCCTAAAACATGCATCTCCTGCCTACCATCAACCTTTGTGTAACCGGAAGCTCATCTGAGTGGTGTTTGACAAAGGATATTTAACTTATCAAAAATTGGTTCTAGAACATTTGAACCCCGCAGAATTTTGATAACCAGGATACAATAGACACCAGAGATGAGGAGGGGGGGGGGGCAATCGGATGCGTTCTTGGCAGACCCATTGCTACCTGATAATACCCATGGTACCGCAAAGGAAGATTTCGAGCAGATAAGGCAATCTCGGTTCGGTTACTGTACCGTACAATGCCAGTGCTCGTACAAGTACAGTACAGCAGCCCTGAGTCTGTGGAACGGAGATGGAAAGTACGGCTTCGTTGGGTGGTGTAACCTACTGCTCTGTAATTCATCTCTGTTGCTAAAAAAAAAAACACCAGGAGTGCAATCCTTCTCAAGTTCGGGATCCCTACGCACATGTGTGTTCGGTGCACAACATTCTTGTGTTGTATTGTGATGTACCCGTATGATATAGCACATGTATTAGTATAGTATAGTACTCACTGAGAGACACTGAGCCTATTCGATAGCAATTTTGATAATTATAGTTCCTACCATTCAAAACCTACATGAGGTATTAGAATTTTTCGAATGACTATACCCCTCCACCAGGTTAAAATATCGATTCAGAAGGACCCCTAGATTATTCGGGACTCTAAGGAGAACGTAGAGGTTTTTCTTTCCTTTCTCGAAGTGATTCAAGGTCTTAATAGTGAGATATAATCGACTGAATAGCTGCGGCCTAGTGCAGGTTTTGAATACCTGGGACCACAAATTTTTCTTTCTTCCCCCCCCCCCAAATAAAAAGAGGACCACTGATCGGCGACAATAGCTCAATCACTAGCACTTGCTCGCATGATTTGGTGACGTTAGGACAATTTTTCCTGAGAAAGTTCGCCGGCACGCTTATCGGTCATCCTTGGGAGCAAGTTCGCCTCTCCTTCCCTTGTCGGCACAAGGAAACCTCTTGGAGAGGATCGCTCAGTGCTTCAAGTGGGCGCGGATATCGCAGTAAACTGAGGCCCGTCTGGGCTGAGCTGCCATGTGTGATACCAAACAGCTAGGTGTGAAAAACCCAAAGACCGAACAGGTCAGCCTAGGCCAGCCACGGTTGACCGCAAAAGCGAAAATTTAGAGCACAAATGTTGGGGGCAAACGGACCTGCTGGTATCTACTCTACTGCGCACTGGTGGCTCCCCCGTTAGATGTTAAATAAATGCGGAACGATGGCACACCGTGCATACTTCTCCAAAGTCCCTGGCGTAATAGGAGTATGATAGAACACCCCCTCTCCTAGGGCAAAATCATTATGATATTATCATCATCAAAATATCCTCTCAAGACGGCTAGGTGTTTTAGGCTGGGGGATGAAGAATGTAGCAGCCAATAATAATTTTCTCAAGCTGCCTATCCACCAAATTTTACAGACTAGGGGTACCGGCGCAATCGATCACACTTGTACCATTCTCACCTTTCAGACCTTCCGGTCTCTTGACCACGCCGACCTGACTTCACGTGTGCCCTGGGAACGCTGGGATCACCACCATGCCCACTGGAGATGAGTTTCCTTTTTCCACAGCTCCCCGTAACACACACACACACAAGATATGCAAGAGCAACATCGGGGGAACGACCCAAAACCATAAACTCATCCCTTCCAGGCCGTTCAACCAAATTTTGTCGCTTCGACGGGGAGGACTTTTTTCTTTTCTTTTTCGTTGAGGTTGACTTGTTGCATATCATATCGTACCGATCTTTTTCGTTCCGGTATTATACACCCAATTCCCTTTCTCCACACCCCCTGAACCGCCTCCCGAGTGATTCGCAATGAACCACTCCCACCTGGTCACCTACCTACCGTATCACACATGTGGCGAAGCTCACGGTCAATATTCTGACTCAACACCAATTCTCTTACCCGGCCGTGCCCTTCGTTGCCTAGGGAGAAAGGGGCGAGTTTGACAGAGCATCATGCTCACTCTCGTCGCAGCGGGAAGGGGTGATCGCTTCGATATCAGTATCAGATCTTCATTGGCTGGTGAATAAGCGAGACAAGCGCCTTGAGTCAGGAAGGAAGGAAGGAAGGAGGCTTTCGCAGCGTGCGGTTACGTGTGCCGTATCGTATGTGTTTTTTCCAACAGAGATTTGTATCCAAGGGTTTGTAAAAAAAAAAAAAAAAAAAATAGTGATTGGCGCCCACACCCCCCCCCCTTTTTTTTTTTGTCTTTCTTTCTTTCTCGATGGATCACGAACAATCCAGCCGTAGGTACAAGTAAATAAATTGTCTCTATCGAGTTCAAGCCATAAAGTTAGGCCAGCCATACCGTACGAGTACGAGTATGATACAGTATATACCATGGGGTGTTCGGATAATAATTAATGGGTCACCGTAGTGGCGTCTCCTCAGATTGATTGGGTACGAATAAGCCTCTGACCACGTGGGCGGCTAGATCCGTGATAAAGGGGGGCACAAGTATCATAGCTCCCGCCACCACAACCACAACCCAACAACGCCTCGGGCGTTTGGATAAGAGCCCAAGCAAGGGTGGTTTTAGGTCCCCAGTTTCACACGGTACGGCACTAATTACTCTACCTAATAACTTTTGGTTTGCGAATTTCAGGCCGCCCGGACATGGCTGAGGGACTTTGGCTCACATTATTATTATATCATCCTGTCATATCGAATGGGTGGCCATTCACTAAATTCCCCCTCGAGCATATCCAGGCACCGACCATCAGATCCGACCCGCTTCCCCGCCAGCATCTTGATAATACGAGTGACCGTCAGTGACACATGCTAAATTGTACTAGTACTAGTACAGTACTCTACCCGTTCACAAGGACTTGCCATCCACGCGGGAAAATCGAATCCCTCCCGGGTTCCCCCGTCCTATCATGTCATACCCAAGACACGCAACTGCAGGTACGAGCATTGTACTATAGTACGCCACGGGGGGGGGCGACATGGAGGCCTGTCTACAGGTGCGACGGATAGGTAGGATACATCCGTCACGCGAAGCTCGATAAGAAAAGAAAAAAAAAGTTTTTTTTGTGAATCTTCTTGTCGCAGTGTACCCGGCCACTTGAGGGATATACCGGTATCTTTTGTCCCTCATCACTTGTATAGCCTCCGATCCAGATCCAGCTTCAAAGCACACACGACGAACGAGGGATACGGTACGCGTGGACGGAACTACGCGGATGTCGCGATCCCTCAGCACTCCCCCCATCTACCATACCTGAAAGAAAAACTAATTTTGTAGATATGATGAGATAACTCTCGGTGGTGAGACCCGCGCGTTCGTCACTCTTCCCACCGGATCGGTAATGCTTCCGCGGTACCTTTTTTTTTGAACGCATGATCAGTAGCTACCGTACCGAGTGATATTGAAAGGAAGTGGTGTACGGTAAGGAGCCTGGTTGATCCGCTCTACCGTACTCTACAGGTTACTTGTGGGTACTGCACCCCCTTGACCACGCATGTCTGGCTGGTGGCGTGGCTGGGGAGGCTGACTGCTGCTCATTGCCGGCATGATATCATGATTTGAGAACGTGGATGTGGTCGAGTGAGCTCACATGACCTACATGAAGGCTGCCGAGGATGGTCGGTCCGAGCCACTGTGGCTGTTCATATCACGATGGGGAAGGGGGGGTTTTCTTTTTTTATCCGCCACTTTCAATTTGCCCTTCGCTAACTAGACTCGAGTATCGTATCGTAGGAGAATGAAATGAAAAAAAAAAAAAAAAAACGGTTCTGGTATGGGTAATGAGAAGAAATGGAAAATGGAAAAATATCATAGAAAAAGGGAAGACGCCACCCGTTTATGTGTGCACTTCAAAACTAACCGCATGAGAAATAAGTACCGCTGATAAAATCAATCAAGCCTCCTGTAAGAAAGGAGGGGAAATAACCCAGATGCGATGAAGACGAGATTAGGAAGAAAGAAAGAAGAAAAGAAAAGAAAAGAAAAAGACTAAAACACCATATAATGCTGAGCTATAAGAGTAGGGAGAAAGGTGAAGATCAAAAGCCAAAATCCCAACCCAAAGTAAAATATTAAACAGCAGAAGAAGAGGGAAATCGCAAGGAACGCAGTACAACTAAGAGACCCATATACTAACTCGGCCTCGGACACTAACTTCAACGATGAAGCATAAAACATCAATAATGCACCCCCCCACTAATCACAGTGTATCAAAACCAGCTCCACTCTACTCTACTCCCGACTCATTCCTCGGAACCTGCCAACCCAACCACTCCCGTCCCCAACCTCATTATCCACATCCTCCTCGACCGGCCAAAGATCGAAGCGGAAAGCATCCTTCCTCTCGACAGGAATCAACCTACGCCCCCATTGATCCTCAAATCGCACCTCCCCGTGCCACATCTTCCTCGCGATAACCGGGCGAATCTCATCCTCGTCCTCCGAGGAGTCCATATAAACCCCACTATCTCTATGGTTATCCCTAGCCATGAGGTCTATCTCGTCGCCGGGTCGTGAAGGGGATCGCACACGCGGCGGCGTAACGACATGCGGTTGCGGGCCGGTAAGTGACGAAGGTGGGATCCGCCATGACGGAGGTGGTGAGGGGGGATGATGGTAAAGGTATAACTCCTCCGGAGGGGAGAGGTGATTGTCGGGGTTTGTGGCGGGGAGATGCTTGGACGAGCTATTGGGCGACCTGTTCGGGGATCGATTGGGAGACCTGTTCGGCGAACGGTTTGGTGAGCCAGCGCGCCCGAGCCCAGCGGTTATCGCTGGGTCGTTGAAGGACTCGCGGGTCTTTTGCTTTTTGCTGGACGGCTCCTCGAACATCAGGAATGGGGCTGCGGGAACAATCTCCACTCTGTCCAGGAAGCGGACAAACTTCTTGAGTTTTGCGCCCGCTCCTGAGCAGATGTCCTTCTTGATTGCTGACTTGACAGGCTTGCTCGCGCCGGCCGAGTTCATTGCTCCTCGCAGGGAGGATGTGAAGGTGGAGATGGACATGCCATTTCCCATGTCTTCTTCCGCTGGTGTAGGCGATGAGGTCTCTATTCCCGCGGACTCGTCCAAGAAGAATACCGGTACCGGTTCTTCCTCTTCTATCACTTGCTGCGGTGATAACGAAGGTTTCCTCGGGGAAGCTAGTGCTGTCGAGATGGAGAGCCCTCCCATCACGCTGAGGATGCGTCCAAGACTTGTGACGCGGGGTATATTTATGCTCGAGGGAGGGAGAGTATATGTAAAAGATATATTCCGGATGTGGGTGGGTAAGGGGGGTCAGTGGGAGCACCGGAGAGGGGGGGGTCAAATGATCTTTTTGGGGAAAGAATCCTGACGAGGAAAAAAACAAAGTATATATTCAGATTCCCCACAAGACCCGAAAAAGACCCTTGATAGAGAAGAAGAGAGAAAAGGATATAAAAAAAATCAGAAAAAAGATCGAATAGTCTCCCCCAAACACGAAACCCCTACTACTATTTCCAAGTGCGATAGAAATTCCGTCTCAAACATAGAAACCCAAGCCCCCAAAATATTTACTTTTCTCTCTCTCTCTCTCTCTCTCTCTCTCTCTCTCTCTCTCTCTTTCTCTCTCTCGCGAATGAAAAGTGAAAGTGGGCAGGAAGGGGCAGATGGGTAGGGATTTATTGTAGACTGGGGGGTAGGGGTAGGGAGATTGAAGGAAAGTATATTAGAAGAAGAAAAAAAACCGACCAAGAAATAAACCCTTCAAAATACCGGCCTTATGATTTCATGAGGGGGAGGGCCCGAACTCTTCCTTATATGTATTCCATCCATCCAAACCACTGACGAGGGAGGTGCCTTGCCCTCTCTTTTGTCATTTCCCCTAGCATGACGGGTGCTAAGGGAACTCTGACTGTGCGAAACTAATCGAAAAGCCTAGGGGGGAAGTGTATGGATGGGAAAAGAAGGGTAGGTAAAAAAAAAAAAAACAAATCTAAAGCGCACACCACACCAGCTTTTTTTTTTTTTTTTTTTTCAGGGTACAACAGAATACGCACAGTATTAAGGCGGTGTGAATGTCCTTTTTTTTTCCTCTGGGTCCTTCCGTCTTTTGGATACTAGAGTACCGGTAGGGGAACAACGGTGGAGGATGGGGAGTAAAGTAAAAGTGCACTTACTAAAGAGAGTTACTCGTATGGTATCATAGCAACGATGAATTCTATGATACTTGATAATTTGTGAGTGCGTATGAATGGGAGTTGTGGTGGTGGTGGTGGTGGTCTAGAGAAGCGGCGCCGTAGTCTGATGGGTATCACAGGTGGGTCAGGTAGGATAGACAGGGAATAGGCAACAGGGGGTGGCAAGGAGACCAAGGTGGTGGTGGTGGTGGTAGTGAGTGAGTGAGTGAGTGAGTGAGTGAGTGAGTGCAAAGGCAGGGATTTTCGCCAAAGGAGGGGCGTAGTTTCGGATGTTTCCCCAAGTGGGAGAACCGTCGTATCGGGTCTTGTCATCACATCACCATACAATAGATGCCAGTATTGTATTCGAAGCATCAACCATTCGAGCTCAAAGCGAACTCCACCTTTTTCCTAACCCAACACTCTGCCTCCCGCATCTGTCCTCCTTCCCGCCCGCAATTGCTCCATTCGCTCGCCTATTGACCGCCTCCGAATAATAAAATTTCCCCTCCCCCTCCGCCTGCTTGCTTTTTCACGAGACCCTTGAAAAGGAACAAGTTGACTGGTGATGGAAGGAATGGACCGGATCTACCGTACTTGTACTGCACTGCATGCATGCACGCGTATCGGGATAAAAAAGTTGCTGCCCAACTCGACGCAGCCAGCCCAAGTCAGCCCAAACAAGTCCAGAGCCGACCAACCAGGTCCACCCTTCCGTCTGATGTTGTCGAGCTTCCCGCGAACCCGGGAAAATAAAAAAACATCATACACAAGAACACCCTGAATAAAATTTAAAAATGATAAAAATAAAATGATACCGTAACCGGTGCGAGCAAAGTCGAGTGAAGAGGACGAATGGGTTAGCAAGCACGTGAATTGAATAAAATCTGTGATGCGCTGAGTCGGAAATACCGGCAATGCGGCCAAGTTAAAAGGCATTGCAAGGCCAAGCCAGCCCGAACCAACCAGATGTAGAGCAGACCAAACAGGGTCATACAGAACATGGTGAGAACTACGAGTAAAACACTAGAACGAAAATGATGATAGCTGGATGAACAGGAAGACGCTACAGTGTTCGTGCGTCAGCTCGGTCTTGTCGTTGACAAAATCAATTTTGTCTCTTCCTTGCTGCTTGTTCCTTGGGCAACTCGTTGCAGTACGAGTATAGTACCGTACCTTCAAAACCCCGGAATCATACCGGTACCATGGCAACTATCGTGATGATGATTGTGAGAGAGTGGCTGAACAATCGAAAAAGGGAATGGTCCTGCCCTTCATCCCCTTCCCCTTCCAAAAAAAAAAAAAAAAAAAAAAAACTCATACGCAAGCTAAAATCGCACATAGGCTAAGGCAGACTGCACCAAGTGATGGGGTGGAGGTGAAATAAAAAAAAATAAAAAAAGACGTCATACAAGCAGATCACATAATATTATCCAATCTGACTGGGATTGTATATCACTTTTTTCTTTTTCTTTTCCATTTCAACACCTCCCCTCCTCCGACTCTTCTACCTGTACGATATCTTCTCCCTTTCGTTAGACTCTCCCTTCCAGCCCTGCGCGACTCCATGGTGCCTCAGGGCTACCATACCGTACTCTGAATGACTACAGTAGGAAATTGTGGTATTACAACGAGACGAGAAAGCCTCCATTTTTGCAAATCATGTGCCACAAAGCATGACTCGCACGCAACGCACAAAACGCTGGTAAATACAGATACCGGTACTGTACTTGTGTCAAAGCTACCGTAGGGTAACCATCTTAGCGAGAAACCATGATGCAAAGTATCATACTTGAATCCGTAGATGAAGAAGATGTTTCAAAAATGTGGTCATTGGACAATTCCTACGAACTGAACTCACTCACCCAGGTAGAGGTGATAGATATTGTGTCAAATATACCTGCAGTAAATAAACTTGGCCCAAAACGGTCCGTCCCATTCCGTAATCCTTTTCCTCTCTCGATACGATTCGATACGGTATCCTCAGCAGCCACCATCCACTACCCTTCCCCTCCCTCCCTCCCTCCCCCCCAAAGTGAAATTACGAAGTATTATTCAAAAAAAAAAAAAATGCGATATCACATAATTTATTTTGAAAGCCCACCTCCCCAGACTTCCGCTCTGCCGTACAGTTAGAACTGGCCGGATTCCGAACCCCGCTGGTCAGATGGCAGTTTTCGTGCACTGATAGGCCCTGCATAGTCTACTTGAGCAGTTCCTCATCCCATCCTTTACCATGGCATACGCAAAAAAAAAAAAAAAAAAAAAAAAAGAAACAGTTTCGTCCTAACTTTTCCTCCCTTTTCCGAAAAACTAAACAACTCGAGCAGACCACTTCATTTCCCCAAATAATCCAAACTGATTTACCTCTTCTCGTCCCCCCCAGAGGATCTCCATGACAGACGTTGCGCCGGTACTGTACCGCGCTCGGTGCCTTCGTTTCCGCATGACATGTTACTCGTACTGAAGGAGCTGGCTCCGTCCCCTAGTCTACTGCTCTCCGCTCCTACCGGTACGAGTACTATTCTCCAGCGACCCCGTCGCGATACCCGCATCGCCCCAGACGAGGGGACAAAACGTGAGTGCCTTCGTGTTGCCCTTCTTACACCTACGTCTGTACTGTACAGTACAGTACACTCTACGTACCGGGTACATAGAGTACGGACGCATGCACGCATCCCGCAAATGAGTTAAAAACCGGCCCCAGCGTTCGGAAAAATTTCCCGGTACGATAAAAAACGACTCGAATTCGTCGTCCTTGAATCGGCTATCGTATTACGTCTCTACACTCTTCTGGTAAATTATATTCCCATTCCATAATTCATTGTCCCCGCAACGAGGCATGTATGACTATAGTTGTGAGAACGATAGTGATAATCTTGGGAACATTTTTTTTTCACTTTTCTTTTCAGCTTTTTGAAAAAAAAAATTTTTGGGAGAAAGGAAGGGTGATGATGATGTGGGGTCCATTCTTGAAGCACCGTTATGGCAGTGCGTGACCGGAATGGGCTGCTTACTGAGGCTGAAGAGCGGCCTTTATTATTATTATTATTATTGCCGTTCTCGCTCACACAATGGGCGAGGAGGGTATTCAGAATAATGAATGATAATGATGATGATGAAAAACCGATTGCACTCACGATGCTCTACTTCTGGCATTTCTGAATCGGCATAGCGGTAGCTTATATGCTGCTGCAGGATTTGGGAAAAGTGCAAATGGAAAAAGCATATGGGAGGGTGTTATAAATTACGCCTTCCAAGTGACGGTCTAAGTTAAACCTACGAGGGCAAAAAAGCAGGAAAACTGAAAAAAAAATCAATGTATCATAATGAGTTTTTTTTTTTTTTTTTCCTCTTTTAAAAAAAAAAAAAAAGTAATATCCATATCATAAAAGAGTTAATAAAAAGCTAGCCGCACCGCGACAAACCTTTTTGTCCTTTCCGAATAGGTATGATAATTGCATTCGCTCATTCATCCCACCTCACTTTTCCAATGCTCGCTGACATTCGGGATGGGAAATTACCGTAGGTATGATATTCGAGCTATCGCCTAGCTGAGCTAGACTGAGAATTTGAGGAGGGGGGAAATCGAGCGAGCAGGCAGGCAAGCGGAGGTGTATCATAAAGCAAGGTGAAGTTGAAGGTGAAGGTGGAAAATAAAGCGGGGTCTTTGCCCCCCCCCTCCCTTCCCTCCATATATCACACCAAGCTCCCCACGAAGCGCACCGTATCATACCCACCTGCTCCGTGTTTTCTTTTTTCTTTTTCTCTTGTTGTTGTTGCGGAAGCCGACACCTTAGACCCCGGCTTGGGCACAAAGAACTCATGGCGGAGAGTGTCATATAAGATCACTCGACTGACTCACCAATCATTTTATCGGATGGTGCTTCTACGGAGGGATGCGGCGTGGTTTTTGCCTTCTTTGATACATACTGCACCAGGCTATGCTCTATTGTACTGCAACACCGGCACTTGTGGACACAGTTGCTATTATGATATCCAAATCTCAGTTGGTGAACGTGTCCTCTAATTTGACGCATCATACAGGACGAGTAACCGTAGTCCTCAAGCGAGGGGGGGAAAAGCAGAAAATGTGAGAGCAAATACCTACCGGCATCGTCGGGATAATAATCCAAGTGATCAGTGCAATGTCGGTTTTCCCGACTGCATCGTTCAATCAGTCTAGCGAACTGTAGCGATAACCCGATGATATCCACAACCCCAGAAACCTCCTCGAGGCACACCCAACTAAGCATCGTATCCCTCCCTCCCATCCCACCTGCAGATTACGTTGTGCTCCACCTTATCACACCGGTATCCATGCCCAGGATACCGGTGGTAGAAAGGGTGGGAAGGAAGGAAGGAAGGAAGGGAAAAAGGGAAAAAAAGAGCTAGCACGGAAGGTGTTTCCGTTCGTCGACGAGCCTTTTGTGTGAAAATTAGCGTCGGAGAGCAGTACTGTCCTTGCCCTTGTCTCAAAACCCGCCCCCTCTTCCTCACGCCGAGTCCCTCACGAACGCTCGGATTCCTCCTGTTTCCGTCCTGGGGTGGATTTGGGCGTGAAGCGAAGTGATCCTCACCGGGAACCTTTGTG